CAGGTACCTTCCCAGATTCCCGCTTTCTCTTTCCTCTTCCTGGACTTACAGAGTGGGAAACAAACCCAAACACAAGTTCCTGTTAAGCAAGCCCAAGTGCAAAGGGTCAGGAAATCTTACAAAATTCTTAGCAGATTTTTCTGTTGGGCCAGTTTCTAAAGACCATTCTTTCCTCATACTTCCCACCCTCCTTTGATTCCTGAAGGTACAGCTCATAGACAACACCCACTTTCCTTAGCTCCCAGCCTTCTCTCTCCTTGAATAAATTCAGCTTTCCAGCATTTAGCCAGCAGGCGGTAATGAGTCTGGCCATGTCTTAGGAGGTTATTCAAATATCTAGGGGCCTCTGAAATGATGCCCCACTCTGAGCCCAATTTCCAACCTTTCAGGTCTCCCAGCAAAAGTTGTGTGTGTGGGAGGTAATGGTGAGGATGAGGTGGTATTTCCAAACTGAGGCTCAGAAAAGGGAAGGTGGTTTTGCTGTAGAAAGTCTATGCAATCACTAACAAAGGATTAAAGGGGATCCTTTCCTCAGTCTATTTCTGGTGGGCTTATAATAATTGAAAACTGGTTATGACTCCTTTCACTGGAAATATACCTTACTAAGTCTTATCAATAGTTTGATGTTCTTACAAACAAATGATGGATTTTTTTTCCCCCTCTTTTTTTGTTGGCTACTTTGCTACAAATCTTTAAATTATTATGGTAGGGTCAAACATTGTAACAACGCCTTTAAAAACAAGCTAACAAATTTAACATGTTGAACTCTCTATAAACACCCAGGCCTAGCTTGCTTTTGAGCTCCAAACTGCAGCTCAAGTCCTAGGGCTGCTCAGTTTAGGAGTAAGTAGTTGCAAAGCCTTTGATGGTGAGATAAAGAAAATGCTTTTCTTTCTTTCCCTCCCCTTTCCCTCCAGGAACACACCTTTTGTGTGCTCTGCCTAACAAAGGAATTTCCCAATTTCATAGTGGAAGGAGGGAAAGTATGGGATCTGCATGCTTCTGCAAGGCAGGCTTTAAAACCACAAAGGATTAAACAAAACAAAACAAGACCAAAAAGAAGCTGGATTTTGCAATACACTGATTGGAGGAAAACCCAAAGACATTGAGAATTAGCAATAAAAACAGCAACAATAAAATCCTATAGGATTTGGAATTCCTTTAGTTTCTATTTGGCACAAGAATCATATGATTTCTTTGTTTTGCCCTTATCTACTGTGCTCAGATAATACCTTTATTTCATTCTTGTGGTCAAGTTACTATTTCATTGTTGTTGAAATAAGAATGGTACACAGGTAGTCTTACATATGTAGAGTAACAGGATGAACCTTTTTGTATTGATTTTTTGGAAGAGGGATAGTGTCTTTTTCCTTTTTCTTTCCTTAACTTAGAAGAGAAGCTGTCTTTTTCAACTGTGAAATTCAATGATTTTGCAAAATGGACTAAGATGGGTGCTTTGCTTTTAACTATTGGTCTACCTGACGAAGGGATTTCTTTGAAATCCTCCTAAAAATAGAACAGAGATAATTTGCTAAAGATGATCCTTTTTTTTTTTCCTTCCCCTCTTACTTTTGGTTGTTCATGGTATTTAAAAGTAGATGCAATGTTATCTCTTGCTGTTTGTGTAAATTTTAACCCAAATTTCCTCCAGCCAAGGATTGACCAAAACATTGGGTTTGCACAGAGCTCCATAAGTATTTGGCATCATGAAGCCACGAGGCAGTTGTACAGCTGAAGCTTGCTTATGATAAGCAATCCAGACTTTGGTTTTGGGAGTACAACTCTTGTAACCATTCAAACGCTGCTTTGCATGCTTTCAGCAATAAGAGAGGGCCTGGGGAGGGGAGAGGGTATTAGAAGTAAACATAGATTTCAAAAACCCCTAGCATTTACTACAGTATGCACATTATGAAATTCCATATATTGCAATCTGCAAAGTGTATCAAGATTTCAAATGAGCAGATCCTTGTGTAATCTTCAATGCACATAATTTTTTTCACATGCATATTAATAAAGGCCCACCTTTGGGAGAGGAAAAATGAATCCTTTCAAATGAAATCAAGCCCAGGTAAAGTTGAAACTCAACACACAGAGTACTGGCATTGTTTTCCCGGCTAAAAGAACATGAGTTTCAGTTTCACCATCTTGTAACACTGATGTGATGTTGTGGCCAGCAAAATTAGCAGATCAAGTAGGTCTTTCTAAGTGTGTCACTGTGCATTCCAACTTCGGTGCATCTCCACGTAATTTGCTGTTTGAAATCAAAGACAACTCTTCTGTGAGATGATAAATCAGGTCATTTACATGAGAAGTCTTAAATAGCAAAAGTGCTACCTAAAATCTACATCATAAAATGTCCCTGTAACAGAGAACAATGGCATTCGTCCATGGAAGTTAATGCGAGGGGGATACCGAGATTGTTTTTCTTTTTACTTTTCTGCACAACTTTGTAAAAATAAAACCCACAGGAATGCCTCCTATGCTGGAGTCTTCCCTGCTACTCTAGTTATTTTATTGTCTTCAGAGTTCAAGCAAACAGGAGGGAGCCTTTTTAGGAGGTAATGGTGACATTTTTCAGAACCTTCCATTTTGTCCTGTTTCCAGTGTCAGCACGATTAGCTTGACATGGAGGTTTCTCCGTTTGGAAAACCTTTCAATGGAGTACACGTCTGTGAACGATATAGGGGACCTGGACACGGGATGGAAAACAGTATACTTCACGTGGAATGGAAATACATTGTCTCACTCTCGGATGGGTTGCGATTCTACCCCCTTCGTGGCCTTTAGCAGGCTTATATATGTATCTTTTTGTGTTCTGTAAACCAGGACCACCTGCTGTATGTACAATCTGTGTTTGTTACATTCATACCCCATCTCCCTTCTAGAATTTTAAAGATCCAGCTATTACATCTTGTTTACTCAATATCATTCCCCCATTTAAAACACACACACACACACACACACACACACAAACCCTACATGAACTGAACATGCCATGTTTCAATCTGGCCCCAGTGGCTTTTTCTCTGAAAGCAAAACGTGTGTCTTTTCCACCAGGGCTTTCTCCCCACCCCAGGGGTGTCTTCCATTCTTTTGTGGCTGAGTTTAAGGCGAAAAGGGCTCCAAACCACTAACTAAGCAGAGGAGAGCCCTTTCTTCCACCTTCAGGGAGACTTTCAGATTTAATTCATCTGAAGATAGCGTGCTCTCTCCTTACTTATTTGCCACCATTACGAGGAGGACAGAACACCACCTTGGCTTCAAGATCCTGGTAGAGGCTCACGGTCTTTTTCAACCATCTTTGGCGAGCCTTGCTTCCTTCCACTCGAGTAAGTTGCGGCTTGGGCCATGGAAAGGACTGGGTGAGAGTATGAAATGTCGTTTAAAAAAAAAAAAAAAGCAGCCCTTCCTCGGTCCCCTCACCACCACCACCACCACCACCACCACACCACCACCACCACCACTACCACCACCACCACCACCACCACCACTACCACCCCCCCCCCCCGGCTCTGCTCTCCCGGGCGAAGCTGCCCCATTTGGGTGAGACTTGGCAGGTCTGCGGGGCGCCGCTCCGCAGCCGCGGGACTCGGGCTCGGGTGGCCGGGCGTCGGCGCCCGCCGGCCGGCCGCGGGCTTCGCGCTCCGCCGCCGCCTTCCTCCCGAATCTCCCTTCCCCCACGGCCGCCCCCTCCCCCCTCGCCCGCGCTCCCTTTTGTTCGCTCGTCGCCCGGGCCGAGCCGCCCGCCGCCCGCCGCCCCGGGCCCGCACCCCAAGCCGTAGGCCCCGGCGTGGCGGGCCGGCCGCCACCGCCGCCGCGCGGCCTAGAGCGCGGCGCCCGGGGAGCGCGGGGCCGGCCGGGCGCACGGCGAGGCCGCGGCGGCGGCGGTGGCGGCGGCGGTGGCGGTGGCGGCCCCGGGAGCCCGGGAGTCGAGGAGGCGGCGGCGGCGAGGCCGCTCCACCGCACACGCACACACAGACCCCGGCAGCGGGAATGCAGATGACACGCCCGTAACATGGAAGCCACCGCCACCGCCGCCGCCGCCGCTCCGACGAGAGCAGCAGCAGCCAGAGCAGCAGCAGCCGGCGGCGCCGCGCTGAACAAAGGTCATCCGAGCTGCGGCCCAGACGCCCGGGCTTGACCGCTGCGAAGGCCAACCCCGGGCAGGGGGTGGGTGTGCGCCTCGGGGCTGGGGTGGCCAGGGGCGACCCGGGGCGACTCGCGGGGGCGCGGGTGGGCGTCGGGGAGAGGCGGGGGCGCCGGCCCTCGTGCCATCCCGGCGGGTCGGGGTGAGCAGCGCGAGGCTCAGGCCCCTTGGCCTGCCTGCAGTGACCTGTCCCACTGTCGCCTTGGGGCCAGCCGGCCTTCGCGCCCCGCCACCCTCCTTGGGGGGGGTCCGAGCCAGGGCCGGTGTTACTAGGCCCCACCGGCTCAGAGAGGGGGCCACGTGGGCGCGGGCTCTTCTCCAACCCCCCCCCAGCGCTGTTGGTGCACAGATGATTTTCCCAAGGCCTCGGTGCCCCCCTCTTCCCCTCGGCCCCTTCACTTGTCCCCCCACCGCCCCAGACATCCCCAGTGTGCTACCCCGAGGTAAAGGGATTTGGACTTCTCCCCCCAGGTGCTTGAAAGAAGAGAAGGTTGGAGGAGGAGGAGGAGGAGACTGGGGGGGCTGCTGGTGGTGGTGACAGGGCTGGGAGAGAGGAGAGGGACGGAAGGGAGGAGGGGGCTGGGTGGGGTGGGGGTGACAGGCAGAGAGGAGCCTGGTCAACAAGCCAGCACCACTCTGCTAGAAGGCCAGGCCGGCTCCCGCAGCCGACGCATCCTGTGTGAGGAGACACACATAGATTGCTTTCTTGGGGGCTCTTTGTCAGCCACCAACACAGAGAACACACACTGACACACACGTACACAAAGATCTGAGCCAGGTTGTGGGAGGTAAGTGGGGGAAGGAGAAGGAGGGGGAAACAGTGGCTGCGGTGGGCTTCGGGGTGGTAGAGGTGGGGGGGATGAGCCCTGAGGGGCCGTGGGGTGCTTGTGAGGTGAGCATTTCCAAGGCTGTGTGCTTGTGTGGTGGTGGGGGAACACGATGACCTTCCCCTCCTTAGGAAGGCCTAAAAGGGAGAGGCAGCCCCCAGCTAGATCCTCCCTATGCTGATGATTTTCAGGGACTTGTTGGCAACTCAGCGAGGGTTGCCATAGCTTTTTTATGTAGGGTGACCAGAACCGGCTGAAACTGGTTTGAGGCAGATCAGCTCCTGAACACAATGCAGTCACTGAGCTACTACAGTGGGATAGCAGCTTCCTCCCTTCATGGCAGCCAAAAGCAGAGGAGCTTGCAGGAAGGTACCATCCCAACACAGTATGTGAATGCACACTTAGACACCACACAGCACTGGTACGTGACTGATGGAACCCTAAAAGATCCTGTGTAGAGACGAAGGGGAAGAAAGGTGCAGGTTTGCAGGTCTGAGATGACTTGGGCTTTTCCTGCCTTTTCTTTTGCTTAAGGGATGGACAAGGAGCTGAGAGTTATGACCCTCATTAAAGAAAAAAATGTGCCTTGCTAGGGTGGGGACACTTGGTTTGTGCAGTCTCTCGCTCTCTGTGTTCTTAACTAAACAAAACCAGTATGAACTGATGGATTTGTAGTGGGAGTTTGTTGCTGGAGAATGCTAGTTTGCATGCCTCTTTTCTCTTGCAGGGTATGTTCTGTTTTGTGCTTTTCCTTTTAGAAGCTACTAAAGGGTGTTGGGCTACTTCTGACTGTTATGAAGGCCAAAAGGTAACAGTATTGTTCTAGAAATGAGCATAAATGCAATCCAGTGATGCTGTTAGCCATACATGCTGTCTTTTTTTTTTTTTTTTTTCCTTGTAGGCCTGTTGACTGGGGCTGCTTTTTAACCCTTTCATATTTGCAGAGAATGCAACCGTGTGACAGTAACTGAACACTGGTCCAAAGTCTTTCCAAAAGGTCAAGGTTCACAAGGTGAGAGATGCTATTTTTAGCATGAATTTAAATATTAATTTGCAGATCCATTCATTCAGACACAGGACTGACAATGGATTGGTACCCTGCAGATAAATGGGTTCAGAGTGGAGAAGAAATAACTCTTTGATGTTAACTGCATTTAATGGGGTTCGAGTGACTTTTGGATGGTATTGCTATCAAGGCAAAAATCTGAATGCCTTCATTAAATCGCATGTGCCTGGGCATTTGGAACAGTCAGGCCTGGAAAGAGGCATGTTTAGGGAATGGTAGGCGGCAGGGCCTTGTGGAGAATGCGCTGTTTTGCATAAGACTGAAGCAGTACACATGGAGCATTCTCCCCATGGTTGTAAGAAAAGGAAGGACTTCACCAAATCGAGGCAGCAGCCCAGCCACCTTTTCAGGATTTGAAGAGCCTGGAGGTAGATTTGCCTTTTGTTCATTTATCACCACTTTTATTTATATATTTATTTATTTTAAATCATGCTCTCTCTGTTAACCTGAAAGGTTTTTCACTTCAAACCGGGTCAAGTGGTGGAATGTCTTTTATTGATTTTGGGGGCTGTCGATGGTGAGTTCTTCATTGGATTATTTGTGGCATACATTTTAATGTGGAATACTAATGCAAGACCAGGAGGAAACCAGGGAGTCTGGCTTCATCTGTGCAAAGATGCCTGTTAGCTTGCAGCTTTGCTGTAATGGGTGGTAGAAAATGTCTAATGCCTTAAAAGCCTGCAGTTAGATTCGAGCTGGCAATTTTTTGTACAGCCTCCCAAACGAGAGGTTGGAGAGGAGAGGAAAGGAGAAAGCAGAGAGGAGTGTAGCTAAGTGAAGAACAAAAGGCTGGAAGAGCTTGCAAGGGAACACTAAACATTTCGCCTTGGGGTTCCTTGTGAAAACAACTGCAACTTCCCCAAACAGGAAACCAGTCCCTCCAGACTGATCCAGCGTGATCTCAGCAACAGAACTGGTTCTGCCTTTCTGCTGCCTTGGTAAAAGTACAGTCAAGAGGAGCCCATAGGAGACATGAGCGCAAATACATTTCTCCCTCATTTGGAAGTGGGTATTTTGTGCCTCTCCAGGTTCAGCAGAATAGTCCTTTCAGAAATGCAGAGGGTCTCAGAATTGGTTAAGCTGTGTGTTGGCAGTGGGTGGGCAGCCTCGCTGCAGTGAAGGGTGTTAGGGATGCAGGGGTTTTTATTGTTGAAATGTTTTTCATTTGGCTGCAGAACATCGCCTGTGTGATAGAACCGGCAAAAGGGGAAACAAGAGTGCATGGTTAGCTCGGAATACTTGATGTAGTATTTAATGGAGATAAATGTAATCTCGGGTGGGTATACCAGCAAATAGCTTACATGATGGAACAAAATTCTTTGCAAATCGCTGTGCTAAAATTGGTTTTCAATTCTCCCTCATTTTCGACTGCCAGAGGTTCTGCGGATGACTGTGGCAGAAATATGCTTGCAAAGCAGATCGGACTCCATGTTGCATGATACGCTGCTCCTGCATTTCTGGTGCCAACTAAAACTCAGATGGCTAATATGATAAACCTTAATTAGCTTAATACAATAAGCTGTTTTATCATTCCATCCTTCATTCCTGTGTTTCTGGAACTAGTGATTTTTATTTAACTTTGAGAGCTCGCCCCTTGTAATGACTATTTCTTGAGAATATATTTAAAAAACATTTTTAGGCACTGCATGTCATGGAATGTTCTGGTTTACTCTTGTGATGCTTTCTAGCTTTGTTCTTCCTCCTTCCCCCAGAAAGCTCCTGAAAATACCATTTGTTTTGCATTGAGGGCAGTCTTTCCAGCTGCAAATGCTGCTTTAGGTTGGAGAGCTGGTTCTCCAGGGCAGCAAACATGAGCTCATCCTGGATTGGGGCTGGCCTCAGGTGTTGATCTCATGCTGGGCTATACAAAGTAGCAGGCCGAGGTTTCTGAGAGAGGGACCAAGAGCCAAAGAATGATCTGGAGAATAAGCAAGGGCATGTTCCTTCCTGGGAGAGCCTGGAGGGAAGGCTAGCCAGGCACCCACACTTGGGGTGGGGCCTGTGCTGGAGCCTGTGCCCACAGCCTGCTTGGAATTGCCTGTGGCTCTCCAGGACGACCTGTGGCCCTTCCCTCTGCAGTGGGAATGTGTGGGTTTGGCCCAGAGTACACTGGAAAGAAAGTGTAACTGGGTGTTGAACTCTTGCTTGTTTTCATCCTTTGCCTGAGATTCAGTCATATTTTCCATGTTAAGGAACATTGGATCCAGGCTTTTACAACTCTCGGCCTAACCTGGTGCAGGAGAGTGTTTTCTCTCTCTACCCTCTCTTCTCTCTCTCCCTCCTCCCCTCTTTTTTCTCAGAGACACTCCCCTCCCCCACTTGACTTTTCTTTTTTTGGAGACAGTGTCCCTCTGTAGCTCAGGCTGGCCTTGAATTCTCCTCCATTCTCCGGCCTCAGCTGCCTGAATGTTTGGGATTTATAGGTATGTGCCACACCAGACCACTTTAGAGAGGAACCTGGTGCTGGTGGCTCATGCCTATAATCTAGCAATTTGGGAAGCTGACATCAGGAGGATCAAGATTAGAGGCCAACCCTGGCAAATAGTTCACAAGATCCCATCTCCAAAATAATCAGAGCAAAATGGGCTGGAGAGGTGGCTCAAGTGGTAGAGTGCCTGCTTGGAAGCATGAAGCCCTGAGTTCAAACTCCAGTCCCACCAAAAAAAAAAGAAAAGAAAAGAAAAAAAGAAAGGTCTAGGAAGAAGGTAGCCAATACGAAAGTGGAATTTTTTTTGTTATATCGTTGACCAGGATGAGTTAGGATGTTTGTGTTTGTATCCTCCCATTGCCCTGTATTTCTTCCCTTGAAATGCTTCTTGGGCTTTGCTGTGGATTGGGTTTCAAGTAACCTTTCCCATATCCTTGGCAGAACCACCTTTCGAGTGTAGCTGGTGCAGAAGTTGCCCTGTGTGGAACCTTAAATAGGGTGCTATTTCAAGGAAAACTGAAAGGACCTGAAGATCATTTGGGCTTGCTCCTTCCTTGACCCCTGAGATCTTTTCCTGATCTACACACTGTCAAAATGAGAACCAGGACAGGGAGACATTATGGAAATCCACAGACGTTACACTAATCTGATTATATTTTAGGGATGATTTTTAACCAAGTCATGGTTAAAAGAATGAACTTTTAAATTTTAATTTACATATGGTGCCATTTACTCTGGGGTGCACAGTTCTTTGGGTTTCACATAGGCATAGAGTCCACACCACCATGACCATGCACAGTAATTCTATCATGCCAGGATTTCTTCTTGCTGCCCCTTCTCCACTCTATCCCTGGCGACCACTGTCCCACTGTAGGACATTGTTCTCTGTCTTTATTGTTTGGTCTTTTCCAGAATGTCATATAAATAGCTTCTTTCACTTAGTATGAATGAAAATTTGAGATTCACCCCTGTTGTTTTGTGAATTAATACTTGGCTCTTCTTTTTTTTTTAATCACTGAGTAGTATTCCTCCGGAACTGATGTACCACAGTTTATCCATTCATTGGCTAAAGGATGTGAAGGTTGTTGCCAGTTTCTTGTGATTGTGAAAAAGCTACTGTAAACACTTGAATATAGGTTTCTGTGTGAACATAGTAAGTTTTCACTTGTGTCTGGTAAATGCTTGGCATTGGGTGGCTGGGTCATATAGTATGTGCATATGAATTATAAGCTTGAATGAGATAAACTCAGCTCATTATAACTCACAGAACGTATCTGGCCTTGACAGCTGTGGTTAAGACTTCCAGGAAAGAGAAAGGGTGAACACTGAAGACACTTGAGAAATCATGATAATAGAACACTCTCTAATGGGATGACATGCTTTATAACCCTGAACTAATCGGAATTAGCCAAAATGAAACAAAAAGCTACAAGTGGTAAAATACCCTTTATTTCCTCCAGCTATTATTTTTAATCTCTTCAGAAACATTTGGCAGTTTAATTTTTACATTTGTCTTCAGGTTCAGTAAAACACCACACAATAATAGAATTGAAATTTTGGAAAGTGATACCAGAGATCTTTGTTGAAATCTTGGTTGTGTATAAAGAACTCTTTCATTATAATTTGATTTATTGACTGACAAAATATTGGTGACAGTCTACTATGAAGTTATTATTCAGCTTTGGTACCTTGTAAGGAAGTGAAAACATTTAAGCACCGTCAAAGCAACTAAGTGGGGAGATTTAAAAGCAGATTTTTTTTTTTTTTTGGTGGTACTGGGGTTTGAACTTAGGACTTGGCCCTTACTGGCAGGCATTCTACTGCTTGTGAAGGTTGTTGCCAGTTTCTTGTGATTGTGAATAAGCTACTGTAAACACTTGAATATAGGTTTCTGTGTGAACATAATAAGTTTTCACTTGTGTCTGGTAAATGCTTGGCATTGGGTGGCTGGGTCATATAGTATGTGCATATGAATTATAAGCTTGAATGAGATAAACTCAGCTCATTATAACTCACAGCAGCCCCAGATTCATCCTTTAAAAGGATTAAAAAAAATGATCAGGAAGAACAAATACTCGAGGTAATGGTTCAGAGGGAGGAGAAGCCCAACAAGGTGCAGGTGATAGTAATGTGGGGATTCTTCAGCTGTTCAGCAGATACTTACTCTTTTTCTGAGTACCAGGTATCATGCTGGAAACCTGGGAAGGCAGAGGGAAAGGAAACCAGAGAGAAAAATTCAGTGGGAAGTAGCCTACAGCAACCATGGGAGGAGTGTAATGGCTACCTGATACTAAGGGTCAGGGGAGAAGCCCCTGAAGAGGTGGCTTCTGAGTTGAACCTGGAAAGGCCAGTGTGAGAACGTAAGATGGCCAAGGCTCAGGTTAGACCATGCATGTGGGTGGAGCAGGGATGGGAAGGCAGAGAGAGTGTGTGTGGGCGGTGTGGAGCTTGGTTGGTGCCTGTAGGACGCAGACAAGGGTCAAATTGCTGAAGTTCTTTCTGTACCATCCCTGCCAGT